ATACCGGATTCAACACCAACAGTGCTACTGAAATATTGCTTTATTAGCGTCATTCTACTTGTTCGAGAGGGTGTTAAGAAAAATCAGTTGTTTGAGAGAATACGATTGTGAATTATCGATGTAAAATATTTCGAACTATATCCTGAGCACTATTATTGGGTTTTATCATAATGGCTGTTGCAATTCTCAAATTCGGAGAAATGAAACGATAAACATAAAACTTACATGTTGAATAAGCCATCCAACAAGCCTTTTCTAGTTGAGCATATTGCAACGAATATGCACTCGACAATGCTAGAATAACACTCGCAGTCTGAATTTTTTGAAGTCAATTATAAAAGATCCCAAACGATACATTTGAAAGAGCATAAATGAAGCAGCAGTCTTCTGCACAAAACAATCAGCACATATTGAATCAGCAAAAAGAAAACGAAACCAACCCTCAAACTGTTCTTAATGGGCCATATCAATAGATGCACAAGAATGCTGTGCTCATGAGTCGACGACAATAGAATATCCCAACTGAATACACCGATTGCCAATGATACCAACAGCTTTTGCTGAAGGTCATGTTGCAAATAAAACACGCTCCACCTGAATTATTGTTACCATTAATACTTTGACATTATCACTACATTGCAATTTCTATTTCACATTACACTAAATGCAAATTACCTTCATTTTCGGGGCATTACCGAAATCTTCAACAACATGGAAGAAGCGCAAAAATGAAAGCAGCAATTACTAAAGCGATGGCAAACAGTAAATGAAGATGTAATGCAATAAATGAATAGAATCGAAACAAACCAAAAAACCGTATTAATCAGCATAAAATACGGTGCTGTGGCAGCAGAACGCCACTCGATTATCGATGAGATAAATTCTTTACCATCTGCGTATACGGTGCGCACTGAATCCATTTGCTATTATAAATGCCACTCTGATCTACCAATAAAATGACACAACAACAGCAATGAGACAAAGTTGTGATATATATATATTCAACTTGACAGAATGTTGAATGCGAATGAATACTCAACGTAGCAAATTAAGCAGATACGCTCAGAACTATCAGTTGATCAACTGATATCATGAGTATTAATCATATTCAACCACAGTTGCCAGATTACCTGAAAACTTCTTGAAGATTCATTATTCATTTCAGAAATCGCAGCACTGAGCATTCACCGCTACAGTACTCTACCGTATTTCCTTAAACAACACACAATATTTCCCGAACATCATGCAAACCAAACATTCAGTTCAGCAGATTCACCAGAAAGCTCAAAATATTACTCGTTAAAATACTAGCATATTGAATCAACAATGCAGTCAAATGATTCTGAAAAGAACGCCTACATGGAAACATCAAAAAAATTGATTGAAACACAACAAGAAATAAATACATCAAATGAAATACCACCAGTTAGGTGTACATATGTGTAAATGAAAGCATATAAGCACCAGCACCACTAGCAGCAGCAGCAGCAGCTTCATGGTGTTGAAGCAAACCGCCTAATGGACAATATTGATTTGTGGCTATATCTATCTATTTCGTTAATCATCATGTGCTCGTTGCTGACAAGTTTACGTCAAAAACAGCAATTGTCCATTTCTTTCTTCATGCACTAGTCGTCACGAACAATTGCTATTTCAAGTGAACTTCATGCAAAAAAA